GTGCTTTTGAACCCTCATTAGTATATGTAACAATGTACAAATGAAGGAAATAGTTTTCAAAGGTACCAAGTAAATTTCCCTAGGGGGCATTTTGCTCTATCTTGGAAATTTTTTTGGTTTGCTTTTTTTCCCCTCAAAGTATATACCACAATTTGTAATTTATTAATTTGTCTTTTTTTTTTTTGCCCTCAATCTCCCTGAGGGCAAAGATCACTTTGGACTTATACACCATTGTAGCCCAGCATTCATTATGAGCTAAAAAAGTATTGACTGAATGTCAGTAATACTGTTTCTCAAGAAAGAAGACTCATTGAGCATTAACTGTGTGCCAGGCAATGATGGCATTAAATATTTCAAATATCACTGTCATGTAAATCAAGATCACATATGAAATGTGATTCATTTATGATTTGATTCTCCTTTTAAAACATGTTTCAAAAAGACTAATCAGTATAGCTACACGCCATTATCTTGTCCTTCTCTTAGTGAGACATGTCCTATTTCCCCTCATTCCATACCCCCCTGCCCCCTCAACCACTTCTTCTTTTATCAGCATCATCAAGAAAGGAAGGAAACAGTGAAGAGCCGGGCTGCCAGCACGGAAGCTAGCAGGAAGATCAGTTCGTTTTCTTTTTTCTTTTCTAAATCATTTGTAGACAATTTCCTGGTTTAATATCCCCTGATATTTCTTAGTATTTGTTCAAAATATAGTACTTTGATCTTTTATAACCAAATAGCTAGAAAATGCTTCTTACCAGTCAAAAAATTACAGAATGTATAAATGCAGTTCACTCTCAGGGATACCCACACTTTTTATGCTGACATGATTTTAGATTTTCAGATAAGTTGCAAAAATAGTATAGAGTTCTTATATAAACTTTACCCAACCCTGTCAGTGTTACTTTCTTACATAATCATGGTTCTGTTTTGACCCTATCATACTGTCCCTGTGGTCATTTAGTGATGCTGAATATGTTTTGTTTGTCCCTTCAGGTCCGAACTCCATCTTCTACACCCTCTTATAAGACACAGGAGGCTGAGCAAGATATATCTCATTAGTAGGCTCCCTTTCTCCTTTTGGGTTCTGATTGGGATAAACCAATGAAAGAAGCAAGAAACTGGAGGGCAGAGTATTTATTTCCATACCCACCTCCCCATGACTTTCTTGCTGAAGAAAGATCCCATTACCATAGGCCACACAATAGAATAGTCCTGTTCTATTTAGCGATTGACTTTCTGCTCCCAAGCCCTCATTCCCTCAGGCCTAGGAATGGCAGTATGTCTGCTGTCCTTAGCCCTAGGATGCCCTGTTATCCCTTGATTTTTCTTAATCCTGCCCTCACCCTTAAAAAAAAAAAAAAAAACCTTTCTTAAATTCTCCCCAATATTTCCAACTAACTGTGCAATCTGATTTTCTCCAGAGATAATGACTGACAACCTAACCAAAGTGATGTTACCTTGAATTGACTTTCTTTAAGAGTATATATCCTTCTACTCCAAAACATAAAGTTATGATAATTTACATAAAGGTTTCTGCCAAGAAGAGTTCCAAACCATGCCACTCATAAGTACACATTCATGAAACACGGCCTGAAATCATCTCATACGTTTATCTTTCTCAAGACTCAAGTGAACAATTAAAGCACAGCTAATAAGCTGTCATCTATAAAAGTAACTCCAGTGAGTTAAGGCAGAAATGTTGCCTTCCAGGACCAGTAAGGAAGGAGTTTGTGCTGAGCACCCCAACCTCATCCCCCAGTCATTTGATACCCATTCTGACCATGAGAGTACTTTGGACAGAGACTGTGCTTTCAGCTAGAAGAAAATGCTCTCTTTAGTCAGGAACGTGAGATCACTATTTATAATTCTAAATATTGAATTGTAACAGCATGAATACAGATTACCAATTCAAATAGACTGTTTAAAGATGAGAGGTATGAGATGCAACAGGCAATTTTTTTTTTTTTTTTTTTGCAACAGGCAATTTTAACCCATAACTAGATTCAGGAGTTAGTTAGCAGGTTCACAGTAGGATGAGACAAGCTTTCCAGTATCCTTAGTCAGACTCTTCATTTATCCAACTACTTCCTAATAGATTATGAAGATGAAAATCAATCAGGATACTTATAGGTAGCAGCCACCCTGACCAAGAGCAAGGGCTGAAGAGATTTGAAGACTTTAGAGGCCAGAGTCCAAGGAAAAAGAGTAGAACTCAGACATAAGGCCAAAAGCAAAACTGTAACCTGAAGATTCCCATCACTGACCCTGAGTAGCAGCTGACTGTAAAGTTAAGTCCTCACCCATAAAATCCTAAATGGCAAGTTTCACTTTTCCTCCACCCTCCCTCCCAAAATGCAGATTTAGTTTTCTTAACATCTCCTTTAGGGCCACATAATATTCTATGCTTGAATGGTCCGGTCCGGGTGCTGCTTCCAGCTGTGCTAGGAGGCCGAGGCAAGTTGGAGGCCTCAGTTGGACAGGAGGGAGTGGCATCATCCAGGGAACAACATGCCCACTGCCAAGCACCTAGCTGACATTGGCTGCAAGACCTTCGTCGCCTCCATGATGGTCCTCGTGTGTACGGGGGCTACTTTTGCAGTGTCCGAGCCTACCACTATTTCTAGCGGCACAGCTCTCAGCGCCAGGCTGCAGAAGAACAGAAGACCTGGGAGCCCTGTAGGATGGACGGGCTTTTTTCCTTGAGCAAGAGGCCCAAGGCCTGCTGTGGAAAGACTGCACCTGCAATCATTTCTGAGTCCAGTGGACCAGGGCCTTAACGGCTTTTGAACTCTGCTGGGAAAAAGTGCCCATGTTTTCTCTGGTACATCCAGTTTGGAGGGGCTATCGAATCAAAACAGGAATGGAAGGGTGAGGCACACTTAACAGACACTAAATAATTTGCCATTCCAAAAAAAAAAAATTCTATACTTGCTCAGCTGTATTTCATACATATCAAGCTGAAATCTGAAAGTATCTTAGCATTTCTTCTGTGGTACAGAGAAACAAAGCTTTCTTTGGAGAAGAACAAAAAAGTATGCCCAACAGAAAATTAAAGAAAGCATTGTAAAATGTCAACATCAGAAAATCATTAATTTTTTCTTTCTAGAGCATTTCCTTACTCTTGTACAACAACTGATAACTACAGAGGAAGTGAGCAACAATTTGGTTCTGCTTATTGTGGCACATGAATATCAGCCACACACAGGCACTTATTTCTTTTTAAAAGTCAGAGTTCATTGCCATGATTCAAAAAAGCAATACACAGTATATTTACTTCTGAAATTTATTTCAGGTAACAGGACACCCACAGACTAACAAAATAAACAGAATTCAAGAGTATTCCCAGGGCCCAATTCTACCTCAAAGCAAAGGGAGGTAATGACTTAGCTACCAGGGTTAGACCATATTAGTTTGTCCATGCAGTTTCCTTCCTTTTTTTCAATGCCCCCTTCCCACCCACCCTCAACCTGCCCCCCCCCACCTGCCTCCCCACCTCACCCCCCCCCACACACAGACAAATCTGAGAGCCATTTATAACAGCAAGACTAAAACTATTTCTCACTTGAAGATTTTAAGACAAAATACCTGAGGTGGATATACCCAATAGAGCAAGTGTGAAAAGAGAATAAGATATACATTTAGAGATTTTAATGATATTCTTCTATAATTTGGGGAGGAGAAAAATTAAAAGGAGGCAGGTGGATCAATATGCAGAAGAAAAAGAGAGAAGGGTTTAATTTACCTTGAAAATAACCAGTATTCTATTTGTCTAAGCCCAGTGAGAATTTGTGCCAAGCAATTTCATTCATTTCACAGTGCCTAGCTCACAACTGACTGTGTGGTAAATATTCAATAAATACTTGTTGGTTGATGAAAAATGTACATGGCAATGCTGTGTACACACAGGAAACAGAAACTTGAAGTGGTCAGACAAATTAGAAAGCAATGCAAGGTTTGGTTCTGCATGTCAATAGCATTTTCAAGGTACACAACTGAGGAAACAGATGAGAAAACAAATGTGCCACATCCATAGTTCAAACATGTTCTTTCTCTTTGAGTGCCAACACTTTATTTGCAAAAGAAAAACTAAGATTAGTATAAGATATTTTTAATTATATATACACAATATAATTTTAAAGACTAGTCATTTTATTGCTTAATATGTCTTCTTGAATTAAACAGGTTGCCTGCTCAAGATTCTTACATTCAGAATAGCAACATACTAGCTGAAACCTTTAACACATAAGCACCTATTTACTAGACTAAAGCTAGCCTTGAACTTTTAGTAATGTATATGATTTTAAATTAACCCTGCGAAATACCAGACAAAGCTCATAACACAGACTGCTAGCTTATAACTGAATTAGGTAACTACTAAATACTCATTAGGCAAATTACTGAAAATAAAGGAAACATACTCATTCCTAAAGCTTCATGAATGCCAAAATTAAAGATGATATAATGAGAATTTGGGATTAAGCAATTGTAATTTGGCTGTAAAATCTCAATGGCTTACACATTTTAAATTGAAATAAAACCTCTAAGCATCTTTTCCTTTAGAAAAATCACACATTATAAAATAGTGTCTAATGGAAGGTCTATTAAAACTACAATGGATCATAGCTGTCAACTTTAAATAGTGTCTTTCTCCTTAAGAGCTTAAGTTTACACACTGGTGCAACACCACAAATGCAGATGCTACAAAGAGAGCTACAAAAAAAGCCACAAATTTTATTCACAACACTTTGCATATAAAGTTTTCCTTCTGCAGACTTGTGTGGAGTTGAAAATAAAGGATGCTAATATGCATATTATGTAGCATATAAAAAGAGAGAAAGAAAGAGAAAGAGAAAACACTTTAGTTGAGGGAAAATTCATTTATCTACTGAAAATCTGGGAGAACTCACATCCACTGTACTCCAAATTTACCCCTCAGTGACAGAAAAATACTATATGAAATGGAAAAAAAATTAAATATGATTTAATCAATAGCTGATTACCTTTAAAACTTTGGGCTTCTTTTCCCTCTGGGGCCTCTTGTTTTCCTTTACAACCTAAAAAAAATCAAATTGCAAAATGAGCCTCCGTTTAAGAGAAAAAAAAAATTAGCTCCCACCCCCCCCCCAATTTTTTTGGCTATTTCTCTATAAAACTACTTATCCCATCTAAAACCATCAACATGTTTGCTAGGCAGAACCTAAAGAGCTTATGTAAAATGTATACTTTAAAAGTCACTGAAAGAAAAGCCTTGCATAAAGATGAAGTAGGGAAATACCCTTTTTTCCCCTTAAAGTCTGTCTTAATTAGCCTCTGCATTCTTCACAGCGAAGCCCACGAGGTAGCCATCTTGCTTGCTTCTGCAGAGGAAGCCTCTACAGTGGAACAGTTCTGCAAACTGCTTTTTGGTATTATTATCATGGTGTTTAAAGGCAGCCCTGGCCTGCCAGCACTGTAGACGTGCTGGGCATGCCTTTTGCAAAAACAGCCCCACAAAGAGTGCAGCCAATGGCAATGCAGAGCTTAGCAACTCCAAAGTGATCTTCTCTGCCTAGCCTTCCTAGACAAAGGATCTCCTGTGTGGCTCCGCTCTCACCACAGGACACAGGCAGCCACAAGCTGCGACATGGAGTTCGCTGCGGAGGATCTGGTCGCGCCGAAATCACAGGAGGCTTCAGCAAAAACAATGCACACAAACCCCCCAGGTCTCCACCATCGGATCGATGGCGGAGTCTCCCTGATTAGTAACCTCTCGGCGGCTCCGGGGGCAGGTCTGCGCGGGGGGGTCGGGGTGTGGGGGGGTGCATGGCCCTGCCTCCAACGTACAGGAGATATAACTGAGCTGAGGGGGGCATTTGGGCTTGCTGAAACTCTGGAAGGTATTGTGCATTTTTACTTTATAAGGCAAGGCTAAATATTGGCGATATTTAAGGCAGGGAGGTTATGTGAGGACACTGTAGGCTCAGCTGTTGGGCTGCGTGTCTCATTCCTCGGGAACCACACCTCTCTGCAGCCGGCGCTTTGCCCAGAAACACAGCAATTTGATTTCTGTCAATAAATGTCCAATGACAAAGGCAGATTAAAAAATAATAATAAAACCGCTTAAAAGGAAAAGGACAGGATGAGGACAAGGAAAGGGGGAGGAGTTTTCAGAATACACTTGCCACTCTGAGTGGCTGGCGATTTCAAAAAGCTTTCTCTCTCTTGCTCTGGACGTTTCTGATGACCTTCATTTCCCCCAAGAAATCTGTCGCTTCCAGAAAGTGGAATCATACTTTTGGGACATAAGAAGCACCTTTGGCTCCTCTGCCTTCCAAGGTCTTCAACTGTCACTGAGCGTCTCTCCGCAAAGCTGCCAAGCAGGTCCCCACGTGGAGCCTGTCTGTGCACGGGCTGATGACAGACACGGCCACTCGGTTCCCAGGGGCTGGGAGCTGAGCCAGAGGTGAACAAGCAGCCACCCACACTCAGCACACCTGGACTCCCCCACCTCCCACGCCCAGTGGGTGGCAGGCACTGGGAGAACAGGGCACCACCGCTGGAACTTGCCAGACTCTGGGAATAACAGAGCCAGGAGGCTAGCCCCTCCCTTCAGCCCCCTGGACCAGTAATAACGGCGATAGACAAAGAACAGGACAGCTGGTGGAGCTGGCAGGTCTCAAGGTCACTGCCAAAATTCAGTGCAGAGGCCACTCACAGAGGCATCACAGCCACCTTGACAGCTGCACAGATCTTGGGAAGACAGCTTCAGCTCCATCCTCACAGGGCCAAAGTCTCAGCGGCACATTTGGGGGATTGGCAGGAGGGCCTCTCTGGCTGCTCAGCCAAAGATGGGTTTTCCACTTGCAGTTGGATTCAGAACAGATTCCCACAACCAGAAATCGGGAACAGAGTGAGGGCCGGAAAGCCTGTATTTCATCACCCTTGATTCCTAGCCTTTCGGTTTGCCACAAAAGCACGCTTTTCTTGTTGGAATGGGAACTCCAACATGCATTGTTTTCCCGCTTTAAACTACCTCTCCTCCACCCATCCACCCTCAAAAATTTTAACAAATGTAAGAAGCAAGCAAAACCAGTGGATTGTAACCTAACCACGCTCACCACGGCAACTTCAAGCACACTGAGCCCGCACTAAAAAGCTCTCTGTGGGGAATGAAGCCAACATGAAACGGGTCAAAAACATGACCAAATACAACAGGATTTGAAAATGGGTGCAAAACCTTTTAGCCCTGTTTCTTTCTCTTTGGAGGCTTGTGTGTGTGTGGTAAAATATAGAAAACAAAAAAATTTACATTTCTACCATTTTAAAGTGTATAATTTAGTAGCATTAAGTATATTCACAATATTATGCAAATGTCACCACTTTCCATTTCCAGAACTTTTTCATCATCCCAAGCAGACACTCTCTACACTTGCAGTTACTCCCCACTCCCTAACTTCTGTTGACTTTCTGTTCTACTTCGTCTCTATACATTTGCCTGCTCTAGGTACCTCATATAAGTAGTAGCAAGCAATATTTGTTCTGTTGTGAATAACAATGGGTATGCAAGTGTCTGTTTGAGTCCCTGCTCTCAATTTTTTTGAGTATATACCTAGGAGTAGAAATAGTGGATCATATGAAAATTTTGATTAAGTTTTGGGTGGGGAAACACCAAACCATTTTCTGCAGCCAAGCCACTTATTTTGTTTGTTTGTTTGTTTTGCCATGTTACACTCCCATCAACAATACATGCAAGGATAGCCCTACATTTCCTGAAGTGTTTTCCATTTCAATTAAAGATTATGTCTCTCCCCATGAATACCTGGATAAAAAATTTTAAAAGCATGAACATTTTCCCAGGTTGATTGCTCCCTGTTTAGTAAAGTGGCCATGATATATTAAGATATATATATATATATATTTTTCCCCCTCACCATATGGCTTATGGGATCTTAGTTCCCTGACCAGGGATTGAACCTGGGCAGTGAAAACAGAGTCCTAACCACTGTATTACCAGGAAATTCCCATAATTATATATTTTAAATAATTTCATTACCTGTGTGATCCATTGTTTGCCTCAAAATAAAATAAAATCAGGATCATGGTGTTAGGCCTACTAAATATCCACACTGGTGAGAAGTTCATTTTTTTTAAAGCCCCATGGGCAGGCATTTTCACTGCATGGGATACTCATGAAACTGCATAATATTGCACTTGGTAACCTAAGCAAAACAAACATCAAAGGTCTATGTGCAGTGTTCTGTAAAATGAATTAATAAATAAAGCCAAAGTTCGTCCCAGCTAATGAGAGTTAATGGAAGTGATCACACCTAACATTAACTCTAAATATCCAACCGATACTACACCATGAAAATCTGTACTTGTTTGAACACAGAATACATTGGTAGCCTCTGTTGGTTGTGACCATCTGTTCTAAATCCTGCACTTAGTGATTTATCTGTCTCAGCTCAAGGCTTAGGTGATAGTGAGCTTTGATGGAGAAAATAATCAGAAATTATTAGCAGAGAAAGTGGAGGTCAAGAGAGCCATTTCCACTCTCTTATTATTCAGAGCAAAATACATACAACTAGATTTTATTGAATGATAAATTCAGAAACTAAGAAACATGATGTTGTAGTCCTACTTATTCAGAACTTATTTTTGTTACTTAAGTCTATTTGTTTATTCCAACCTAATCCTAACCACAAGGAATTCATTGCATGAGTTGATATTTAATTTTGTAATTAACTCAAGTGTACTAGGTTCTTTCAAATATTACAAAATAGTTCTATCTCCTTTCTCTTAAAAAAAAAAAAAAAAAATCACATAATTGGGACTTCCCCTGTGGTCCAGTGGGGAAAAACTCTGTGCTCTTAATGCCAGGTACCTGGATTCAATCTCTGGTCTGGGAACTAGATCCTGTATGCTGCAACTAAGACCCAGAGCAGCCAAATAATAAATATTTAAACCCCTGTCCCCCACCCCCCAAAAATCACATGATTACAGAGATAAAAAAAGAATAACAGGGACCTTCACGGTGGTCCAGTGGTTAAGAATCTGCCTTGCAGGCTAACAAACACATGAAAAGATGCTCAACATCACTCATTATCAGAGAAATGCAAATCAAAACCTCAATGAGGTACCATTACAAGCCAGTCAGGATGGCTGCTATCCAAAAGTCTACAAGCAATAAATGCTGGAGAGGGTGTGGAGAAAAGGGAACCCTCTTACACTGTTGGTGGGAATGCAAACTAGTACAGCCACTATGGAGAACAGTGTGGAGATTCCTTAAAAAACTGGAAATAGAACTGCCATATGACCCAGTAATCCCACTTCTGGGCATGCACACCGAGGAAACCAGATCTGAAAGAGACACATGCACCCCAATGTTCATCACAGCACTGTTTATAATAGCCAGGACTTGGAAGCAACCTAGATGCCCATCAGCAGATGAATGGATAAGGAAGCTGTGGTACATATACACTATGGAATATTACTCAGCCATTAAAAAGAATACATTTGAATCAGTTCTAATGAGGTGGATGAAACTGGAGCCCATTATACAGAGTGAAGTAAGCCAGAAAGATCAAGACCAATACAGTATACTAACGCATATATATGGAATTTAAAAAGATGGTAATGATAACCCTATATGCAAAACAGAAAAAGAGACACAGATGTACAGAACAGACTTTTAGACTCTGTGGGAGAAGGCAAGGGTGGGATGATCTGAGAGAACAGCATTGAAACAAGTATACTATCAAGGGTGAAACAGACCACCAGCCCAGGTTGGATGCACGAGACAAGTGCTCAGGGCTGGTGCACTGGGAAGACCCAGAGGGATGGGGTGGAGAGGGAGGTGGGAGGGGGATCAGGATGGGGAACACATGTAAACCCATGGCTGATTCATGTCAATGTATGGCAAAAACCACTACAATATTGTAAAGTAATTAGCCTCCAACTAATAAAAATAAATGGAAAAAACAAACAAAAAAGAATCTGCCTTGCAACGCAGGGGACGCAGGTTCCCACATGCCAGGGGGGAACTAAGCCTGAACACCACAACTAAAGACTCCAC